AAAGCCTAAGAAAAAATCAAAAGGAAATGCCAGAAATCAAAAGCCCCCTAACCACAAATGAAGGAATGTCTTGGGGGGGCTCATCAGCCAAGGAAAGAATCCACTGAGGCTTGAAGATATGTCAACAAGAAACTTCCCACACTAGAAAAGTTAGAGAGAGAGAGAGAGAGAGAGAGAGAAGCAGACCTTCCCAAAACTGGAAAAAAAGGAAAACCAAAACAAAACAAAAAACCCCCACAGCACAGAATATCCAATAACTATGGGACACCTAGAAAAAATGTAATGTACCCTATGCCGGAAGGGACCAAAGAGAAACCAAAACAGAAGAACCCCTTGAAATTTTGCAAATTTAATGTTAGATACAGACCCACAAATTCAGGAAGCTTACAGAACAACAAGAATAATAAATCCCCAAAAAATCTATCCCTAGGTATTTCATATCCTACCTGTAGAAAATAAAAAGGAGAACTTCTTAAAAGAAGCTAGGGCGGGGGGGGGGGGGGGGGGAGAGCGCCTTACCTATGATAAGAATTACATTAGACTTCTCTTTTAGAAACCATGCAAGCAAGTAGAGAATGGAGTGAAATACTAGTACTTTAAGTAATAAAAGAAAAAAATCCACCAACCAAAAATTCTGTATCCCAAGAAATTATCCTTCAAAAGTCTAGGAGAAATAAGAATTTCTCAGACAAACAAAAATTGAGGAATTTGCTGCCAGCAGACCTTACAAGAAATTTTCAAATAAGTTCTTTAGAGAGAAGAAAAATGATATGGGTTAGAAACTCAGACCTACATTGAGAAAGAAAAAGTGTTAGAGAAGAAAGAAATGAAGATAAAACAAAATCCTGTATTCTTCTTATTCTTAATAACAGATAAAAACTTGTCAATAATAGATTATAACTTTTGGACAAGTAAAATGGATGACAGCAATATTACAAAAGGCAGTAGGGAAGAATTAGAAATACTCTATTATAAGGTATCTGCATTACCTATGAAGAGATACAGTGTTACATGAAAGAAATTTAGATTAGTTGTAAGTATATTGCAAGTTATAAGGCAACCACTAAAAATGTTTAAAAAGAAGTATAATTGATATGCTGAGTGGAAGGAAAATGAATCACATACTAGTAAAATGCTCAATTAAAACCAGAGGAAACAAAAATAATAAAAGACAAAAGAGGAATAAGGAACAAAGGCAAGGACTAGAAAATAGTTACTAATATGGTTAAGTATTAAATCAACTGTATCCATAATCCCTGTAAATGTAAATGGTCTAAAATGCACCTACTGAAAGACAGAGGCTATCAGAGTGGATTAAAAATAACAAGACCCAAATATATGTTGGCTACAAAAAAACCTACTTTGAATGTAAAGACACAGATAGAGTAAAAGTAAAGGGATAGAAAAAGATACATCATGCTGTGTAGCTATATTAATTGCAGTCCAGGCAAACTTCAACAATGAAAATTATTAAGGATAAAGACTGGCATTATATAATGGTAAAGCAGTTACTTTTCCAAGACATAAAAATCCTTAATATGTATCATCTAACAACAGAGTATCAAAATATGAGAGACAAAAACTGATAGGACAAAAGGAGAAACAAACAAATCCACTATTATAGTTGGACATTTCAATACAACCTCTGTCAGTAACTAACAAATCCAGCAGGCAGAAAGTCAGTAATAATATACTTGAACTGAACAGTACCATCAATCAACTGTATCTAATTGACATGTACAGAATACTTTACCCAACAACAGCAGAATACACATTCTTCTCAAGCTCACATGAAAAAATTCACCAAGATAGACACAATCTGGGCCATAAAATACATCTCCACAAATTTAAAAGACTAGAAAATGATACAAAGTATGCTCTCAGACCACAGTGGAATTAATTTAAAATCAGTAACAGAAATATAGCCGGAAAATCCCCAAATTTCTGAACATGAAATACACTACTAATTAACATGAGTAAAAGAAGAAATCTCAAGAGAAATTTTAAAATATTTTGAACAAAATTAAAACAAATACACAGAATATTGGCATTTGTGGATACACCAAAAACAATGCCTAGAGGGAAATATACAGCATTATGTGTGCAGGGAGGGGGCAAAAGTAGGTTTACAGTTGCTCGTACGGAAAATAATACAATAATTAATAAATAAAACAAATAAACACTGTTTCGCATACTCATAACTGTAAGTGTACTGTTGCCCACCCCTGTATATATGAGAAAAGGCGAGGAGCTTCTGGGCTGGTGAACATGTGGAGATGCAGGGAGCATGGAAGCTCCATGCCCCTTCCCACATACCTTGTCCTAGGCATCGCTTCCATCTGGCTGTTCCTTTGATAATAAACTGGTAATCTACTAAGAAGCCATGTGATTCTACTAAGAAGCCAAAAGAACACATGTGATTCAATTTATAGGAAATAGGTGAATCTATAAAAACAGAAAGTAGACTAGCAGTTACTTAGAGCTGAGGGTGATGGAGGCATTGTAGTGATCGCTACAAAGTATACAGTTTCTTTTTGAGGTAATGAAAATGTTCTAAAATTAACTGCAGTGAGGGTTGCCTCTATGAACCACCAATGGTCCATCACATTCATATTCATTAAGTATGAATTTCAATGAACCAAAAATCATTGAACTGCATATTTTAACTGGGTAAATTGTATGGTATGTGAATTATACTTAATAAAGCAATTTAAAAAAGAAAATGCCCATATTTTTTAGAGAAGCACACTTAATATAGCACAATGTTTAGAAATGCTTTAAAATTCTTAGCAAAGAGATAAAGCAAATGTGGCAAAATCATTAATAGCTTTTGAATCTAGGTAATGGGTACTATACTATTCTCTAATTGAGCAAATTTGAAAATTTCCTCTAAAACAAAAAGGCAAGTACTTCCACAACAAAACATAGACAATCTCCTCTAAAGCAACATCTAATTATTAGGTACCTGGCTCTCTTGACTCTGATATCTTTTAAGCAGAATAAAATACTACACACTACTCCGAGAGCAATTTATCATTTTGCCTGCACTACAAAGTAATTTTACTTTAAATGGTAATTACAAAGATGAAACCTGCAACTTCAGATTTAACAAGATTTTCAAATTACACCCATATTACCACCTGTTTTGGACACATTTTTCCATTCTCCTATTTCACTATGTTCTAATGCAGGCATGTGGTTCTATAAAATTGTTAAGATCAACAGTGAGGTGGATTACAGCAAAAAAATTTCCCCCCAAAAGATACCTGCTGACACAGCACCGATAATTATCAAAATATATTCTTCCTCTTTCATAGGCTATAGGTGACTTGGAATGAGTAGTCCAAACATTCTTAAATTTTGTACTTTTCTGAAAAACACAAAGAATTTTGGTTTAGGAAATCTATAATAATAAAAGCATAATATGCTAATTAGACCAGACAGCCGAAGACCTTCTGGATGTCATTCCAGAAGTCCTTCCGGACAAAGCCGCAGCAGCAGGGGCTGAGGCAGAAGTGATTTGGGCCCATCAGGCAGGCAGGTGAGCAGTTAGGGGTGATCAGGCAGGCAGGTGAGCAGTTAGGGCAATCAGGCAGGCAGGTGAGCAGTTAGGGTGATCAGGCAGGCAGGCAGGTGAGCAGTTAGGGACCATCAGGCAGGCAGAGTGATTAGGGGTGATCACGCAGGCAGGTAGAGTGGTTAGGGGCGATCAGTCAGGCAGGCAGGCCAGCCAGCGGTTAGGAGCCAGTGGTCTGGGATTTCGAGATGGATGCTCTGCCAGGATAGGCCCCATCCGGCAGTCCGCGAGGGGTCCCCGATTGCAAGGGTGTAGGTCAGGCTGAGGGACCCCCCCCCCCTCCCGTTCACGTGTTTCGTGCATTGGGCTCCTAGTAACTCATAAGCCTCTCCTGTGCACCAATTTTATGATGGATAGTTAAATTTAGGGTTTTCAAATAAGTTTCACGTATGTAATTTAAAAACATTATGTTCAATTCTTCGCCACTCTGCCTCACTCTCACGTTTTGGTTTTAGTGGGGTGACCAACTTTTCAAAAGATTATTTGCAAGGAAGACATAAGCAGCTTAAAAAATTAAAAGCATCTGGCGGTCCTATTACCTATTTACTAATCCTCCAGGTTCAGGGCATCCATGCCCTTCTCCATCACAAATAACCTTCTTAAAACAGGGCTCTACCGCGTAAAATCGGCACCCAGAAGGCTTGAGCACCCCAGAAGGCTTGAGCACCAGGCGCCCGCAGCCCTCGGTCCCGCCCGCCCGCAGGCGTCACCTGGCACACCAGCGCCCGCAGGATGCCCAGGTTCGTCCTCTGCACCGCGCCCGCGTCGCTCGAGAAGAAGCCCAGCGCCCGGCGGCTCAGCGGCGGCACACGTTGGGCTTCCGGGTTGGGCCCATAGGGGCCGGGCCGCCGCGGGGCCGGAGAGGGGCGCGATCCAGACCCCCGCGCGGAGCAACGGCCGCTCCGTCGGAACCTCGAGGCCCCAACTCCCTGCGGGGACCAAGAAAAACTAACACGGGGGCCGTGCAGCGGGGCGCAGGGCAGTGCGGCACGGGAGACACAGATGGCACCGCCTGATCACCAAGAGCAGGGCAGGAAAAGGCGCCCCCCTTTACGGGCTGCCCCCCAACGCCCTCTGGTCCTCGCCCCGGCTGCGGCCTGCGTCGCCCCGGTAACACGCAGCCTGCAGGCGCCGGTCCCTGCTCGGGAAATGTAGTTCCCGGTGCCTCCAAGGGAGCCGGGCTCGCTCCCAGAACTACAGTTCCCATCAGGCGGCAGGTGCGGAGCACCCGCTCCGGCCGCCGGTCCAGCCCCGCCCCGCCCCGCCCCCGTCCCGCCCCGCCCCCCTGATTGGGCGGAGCCTGGCTGTCGAGGCGGTGCACCCTTCCGGCGGCAGAGAACCCCGTGCGCGCGGTGCTGCAGCCTCCGGTGGCCCGCTCTCAGGGACCCGTCCCTACCGCCCGGGCACCCCCACGCCTCTCGGCCCCGGACTTGCGCTGTGGGAGGCGCTGAGTCGAGTGCGACCCCCAAAGCAGCGTCCAGCGCGAAAGGTACGCCCCGCGGCTCTCCCTTCAGTCCCACGTGGGATGCCGTGGCCGAGGGTAACGGTCACACTTTCTGGGTCTGTGTGTGCGGAGTTGGTGGTGGAGGAGGCGAGGCTCTCCCGCTCAGCGAGTGTGGAATTGCTCTTTCCCGAGGCCCGCCCCTCTGCGGTCTGCGAGGACCCAGGCTGGTTTTGCGATCATTGCTGCATTTTCCTTCCTCTAGCCTCCTTTTCCTCCATAACGGGAGTAACAGGTGAAATGCTTACATTCTGATGGGGCTGCCTAAGGTATTCCCCGTTGATTCCTCTAACTAAATGAAACGAAATGGAAGTAGCGAGCCCTGCCGGCAGAGTCAAAGTTCCCCTGCACGGAATTTCCCGTAACCAAGCCCCGGGGTGTCCCCGGGGTGTGTACCTTGAGAGTGATCTTTGCCTCTCCTGCGTGGGCTTGGCTCGCCACCTCTTGCTCAGGACATACGCGAGCGAGAGAGGGCATCTGACTCACAGCAAAAAGTACAATACTCAGTGCGTGTGTGGGTCACAAAGTGTTCAGTAAAAATGTGCCACAGCTCTCTTTAACCCTGCTGAATTTCCTTTAGGGGCTGGGCGTTTGCTGATTTTTTCATAACTTATTTGCAGCATACTGTGGAGCGCTTTGTGTATTTTTAGACAGCGCTATAATACTTAATTTGGTAATTTTGTGAATGCAGCTGTCACTGAGAACACTGAGACTCAGAAAAGATAACGGAATTTTTGGCTGAAATAAAATTCAAGTAATTGCGGAACTGAATGCATCATCTCTTTTCTCCCTCCTGCCCCCTCACGGCCACTTGTTTGTCTTCCTGTGGTATTTACCTCACCAAGAGACAGTCAAGCTAAGATGCCTTCTTTTTCTTCACCCACAACCAAGTCCTTTTGATTCTAACACTAACTCTTGAGCATCTCCTCATCATACCCCCTGAGTAATGTAGGGTCTCTCCGTTTTATCATATTAAAATTAACAGCTTCCTTTCTGCCTTAAATACTTTCAAGTCATCCCTCTATACTGCTGCCAGAGTGAGTTTTCTAAAGCACAAATCTGCCATTTCTCTATATCTCTGAGTGGCTCCCAAGCAGAATTTCTCAAACCCAAGTAGATACTTAGGATTCTCTTGTTAAATTAAAATATTTCGGGATGTGAAATATATGCAAATATACAACTATATAAATTCCTTATGTTGTATCTTTTATGCAACTATAACTTATAAATGGTTTAAGTTAAATTAAGCAAGATTATAAAACAAACCAATTTAAATGACTACTTATACATTGTTGCCAATGAGACTTTTTGCCAGGCCAGTCATTGTTTCTCTTTCACATCAATGTCTCTCTCCCTTTACTCTCTCTCTCGAAAATCAATAAAAACATATTAAAAATAAAATAAAATGCAGAAAGATTTAGGGTTAAAGGGTTCATAGTAATGTTTTTAAAAAGTATTTTAGTTATTCAAAGACTGTATATATAACAGCATAATATGTAAATAATAATTATAAATGAATACTCATATCTATCAACTTTACAAAACACACAAAATAACCTAGAACATTACTTAAAAATTTGACATGTCCTGTGTGCCCTTCCTAAGTCCTAGATCCCTCTTTCCTCTTCATATAGATAAAATATTGTTTTTGAACATTGTATAAATTGAATCATACTGTATATATGTACTCTTCTATAAATTGCCTAGTTTTTCCAACATTACATTTGACAAGGTACCTGAGTTCATTTCATTTATTTTTACTACTGTATAATATTTCGTTGTGTGAATTTACCACAGTTACCCATTTGCTACTGGCTGGGCTTTAGTGTCTTTGAGGTTTTTTTATTCCTAGAAAAGTGCTGCTATAGGCATTCTTAAACCTGCCTCCTGTTACACTTGTTAAAGTATATGTTTGTTTTCTATTGCTGTGTAACAAATTACCAAAAACGAAGCAGCTTAAACCAATACCATTTATTATCCCTAATTTTTTTTCTACATGAAAAACCACTTGTCCCAGTACCACTATTGCAGAGTCTGTCATTTCTCCACAGATCTGTGATGTTAACTCTTGTTTCATATCAAGTTTATATTCATGGTCAGGTCTGTTTCTAGGCTCTGTTTTCTCTTCCTTTGTTCTGTTCTATCCCTAGCCTACTACCTGACTAATTTAATAGTAAGGGTTGAGAGCTGGTAGGGCAAGTCATATACTTATTCCTTTTCTTCAGGAGTATCTTTTTGTTTTTGCAGTTGGCACTTTCATATATATATATATATATATATATATATATATATATATATATATATTTTAATTTCAGAAAGGAAGGGAGAGAGAGATAGAAACATCAATGATGGGAGAGAATCATTGATTGGCTGCCTCTTGCACACTCCCCACTGGGGATCGAGCTCACAACCAGGGCATGTGCCCTGATGGGGAATCAAACTTTTACCTCCTGACGCTCAACCACTGAGCCACACCAGCCAGGCTCATACATCTTTTGGAACCTGCTTAGGTACCACAAAAAAACCTACTGGAATTTGATTAGTATAGCATTAAATCTATATATCAATTTGAAGAGAACTGACATCTTTACCATATCAAATTATCCTGTCTATGAAGACAATATGACTCTCCATTTATTTAGATCTTTAGTGTCTTTCAATTAAGTTTAATAATTTTTCTTAAAGGATTTCATATTTTGCAACTTCCTCAGTACATTTTTATATTTTTGGCCAGCATTATAAATAGTATATTTTTTAAATTAGATTTTCTAACTATATATTTTTGGTATATCGATCATCTATTTAGCAACCTTGCTAAATTTTATTTTTAATAGTAATAATTGTCATTTGTAGGGTTTGGGGAATTTTTCTATGTAAGTAATCATGTCCTTAGAAAACTGACTATTTTGTTATTTTCTTCTCAATTCTTACCGTTTATTCCTCCTTTTCTTCCATTGCTGGCTTGGACCTCTAGTGCAGTTGAATAGAACCAGTGATAGTGGACATCCTTGTCTTATACACTTTTATAAACTTCTAATATTTCACCATCAAGGATAACATTGTAGATTTTTGCTAGCCACCCTTAATCAGGTTAATGAAATTCTCTTCCATCCCATATTTGCTAAAAGTCTTATTAGATTTTCAATTGTGAGTGTTGAATTTAATCAGCTACTTTCTCTATTTGCTGAGGTGATCCTATAATTGTTTTTCTTTAATCTGATAATTTGGTGAATTTCTGATAATTTTCTAGTGTTAAACCAAACGAGTTTATTTAGAGAAGTTGTGATGTGTTTGTTTTTCATACATTGTGAGATTTGGGTAGCTGCTGGCTTCATTTCTCACTCAGCTTTCTGGACCTTCACTACCTTTTGGTCTCCAAAGATCTCTTGTTCCTTCTTGCTGACTCAATGATGCAGTTAGCAAGATATATTTTTAAATATATTTAACCAGCCTCTTGTATTTCATAGTAGAAAGGTTTTTGGACTATGAGGTTCACCAAATGATCAGAACTAGAATTCCACTTTCTTATATTTTTAGTGTAAAAGTTTCCATCCATCATTTCTTTATTTTTTTATTTATTATTTTTAAAAAATATATTTTATTGATTTTTTACAGAGAGGAAGGGAGAGGGATAGAGAGTGAGAGGGATAGAGAGTTAGAAACATCGATGAGAGAGAAACATAGATCAGCTGCCTCCTGTACACCCCCTATTGGGGATGTGCCCGCAACCAAGGTACATGCCCTTGACCAGAATTGAACCTGGGACCTTTCAGTCCGCGGGCCGATGCTCTATCCACTGAGCCAAACCGGTTAGGGCTATTATTATTTGTTTATTGTCTAAAGTTTTACATATGTCTCTCCCCCCCCCCCCCATTGTCGTCCCCCCCTCCCCAGCCATTCCCACCCCGGCAAGCCCCCACCGCCCCAGTGTCTGTGTCCATTGGTTATGCTAATATGCATGCATACAGGTCCTTTGGTTGCTCTCTAACCCCCCTTCCCCTGCCATTTGTCTCTGCCATTCATGGTTTCTTTCTTCTCTTCTTCTTGTCTCTATGCACAGCCATTTCCCTCCCAGCTGAAAACAAGGACACAGTGCTGTGTAGTAGAAAGAGCATCACACCAAGGGTTGAAAGGCACAAGTTAATAGTGCCAGCACCACTTAGTGAGATCTTGACCAAGTCACTTACTCTGAGTTTAATTCAATCCTCTGCTAAGTGGGAACACTCAGGATTGAAGTGAGAATCACAGGAGCTTATAAATGTGAACACGTTGTTGTGAGGGGAAAGGATAAGAAGCAGTGATGTCAAGTACATCACTTCCTAACATTGCTAGGAAAAAGTAACAGAAACAGGGAGTTTGGGGAGGGGAAAGGGTTGATTAGTAGAATGGAGGATTTTTTTTTTAGGGTGGTGAAACTATATGCATTTGTTAAAACCCATAGAGCTTTTCAGCACAAAGAATAAACAATGTATGCAGAATTTAAGAAGATAATTAAGAGGTAGTGGGGATTCCAGGATGGAATGCAGGCTGTAACAAAAGAATCTAACTGTATTAGAAATGTAAGTGGTAACCTCCCTGAAGGGGCCAGGGAAAAGGTACTGACCTAAGTAACTTTGAAAATGAAACTAAAATGAAAGACAATAGGAACTATGCATGTGCACTGTACTCTAAGTCAGCGGTTCTCAACCTGTGGGTCGCGACTCCTTTGGGGGTCGAACAACTCTTTCACAGGGGTCGCCTAAGACCATCGGAAAACACATATATAAGTACATATTGTTTTTGTGATTAATCACTATGCTTTAATTACGTTCAATTTGTAACAATGAAAATACATCCTGCATATCAGATATTTACATTACGATTCATAACAGTAGCAAAATTACAGTTATGAAGTAGCAACAAAAATAATTTTATGGTTGGGGGTCACCACAACATGAGGAACTGTATTAAAGGGTCGTGGCATTAGGAAGGTTGAGGACCACTGCTTC